AAAATACAATACATAATATGATAATTTAAATACCAAGATAAAATACAATACATAACATAATAATTAATTAGCGATGAAACAATAATCATGTCGAAAAGATGTTGAATGTGCATTCGGAGTTTTGCAATTATTGCAGGACCGTCACGTTTTTTTAGAAAGGAAGTGCTACATGATATAATGACTACATGTACTATACTGCACAACGTGATAATTGAGGATGAACGTGATCTTAATGCACCAATTCAAGGTGTCGTAGAGGCTCCAACTCCCACGACAGAAATGGTGATAGATGAAAACCTCCGGTTTGAACAAATTTTAGCTAGACATAAAAAAATTAAGGACAAAAATGTTCATTTTGAACTCTGTAATGCATTAATAGAGCATTTATGGGAGCAACGTAATAATTTCGAAAATTGAGTGTTTATGTAATTGTATTTCACTTTTATTTGAAGTTGTCCATTAATTTATATATTATATAATATTTTCTTGCAATTTATGGTATTTAAAAATTTAGAATAAAATATAATTTTATATTAAATAAAAAATTGAAAAATAAATTTTGTATCACATGAGAATTATATAAAGTAATTATTGGAAAAAGAAACAAATAATTTATATTATGAAATAAGAAAATAAGAATGAAATAGAAATAATAATATAATATTGAGAAGAGAGAAAAAGATTCTTTTTTAGAGAGTAAAATAGAAAATTGAGTTTGAGTTGATTGTCTGAAAAATAAAAAACTCTATATATTGAAGAGTAAAATAGAGTGTAGGGTTCGAGATGCCCAATTACACCCTGCCAAGTACACCCAATTTCAACAAGTAATTACATGATCACTCAAACAGGATAAATATGTAATTACATCAAATTTAATTATCAAAATGACTTTTCAAACCAGCCCTTAAAATATTTTAAAAAAATTACCTTTAAAAAGTCAATCCAGATGGGCTCTATCTCTAAGGTAAAGTCTTTTTCTCTTAAAAAAAGAAGTGATGAATCTTTATCAATGTGTACTAGACTGTGTAAGAAATGACAAAATTAAGTACCTGGCATGTGGAAATTTGTTAGGAGGGATTGTCCAAGGGTCATTTTGGTTAGCCCATCCTTTTTATTTTTCAAAAAAAAAGAAGATATTTTTTATTTTCATTTTAAAGATAATAAAAACCTAAATATAATGACAAGAATATTTACTACATAAATATAGACCTACGAAAATTAAGATAGCGCTAGAAATACAAGCTTATTTATTCAAACTTGTTTTTTTTCTTAAACATACATACAGGAGGTATGAAATGTCATGGTGGGGATTATACATGATACCTATACCTCATATATTAATAACCAATAACAAAACATACGTACAACAGGTATGAAATGTCTATTCTTTTCAAAAGTTTCAAGATTGGACATGTCCAATCTTTTACAAAATTAACTTCTAGTTGAACCATAGCTTTCTCAACATGTAAATGCATACAGTACGCTAGAGGAAAACATTTTCTTAATAAAATTTTCTCTTTGATTTGAAAACGAAACAAATTTGATATTCTAAAATATACCCTTTTTATTTGAGATTTTCGCTTATCACAAGTAAAATTGTTAAAAATAAAATAAAACTAAAATATATCAAGATTAAGCCTATAAAAGAAACATTTAACGTTAAAATAGTGTAAAAACTAAGAAAGGATAAAAGATCATATGTCTACACTACATTAATGTAAAAACAGGTCTGCACATTA